AAATTCGAACTATGCGTTTGATTTTCTCGCACAAATTTTGAATAAAAATATTATTGAGCAAGCAATATAACGAATCAATATAATTGAAAAAAAAAAGTAATTTCTTATTACATAAGCAAATTTTTCTAACAGCTTTTCTTATTATGAGGCTACATACATATATGTACATGTGAAAATGAAAATTTAAGAAAGTACATATGTACTTGAAAATAAATTGAATTATTTTTTTGTAAATAAACATAAGAAAATATATAAAACTATTAGAGAAATTTTTCCCAAAGATTTTCCTCCATACCTTGCAATAACATTTCAGAAAATTTCAGAATGTACCATAACTTCGTACAAGAACAACTGTTTTTAAAGATGATGTTCTATTTTGAATATAACATTTATTGAAAATTAAAACTAGGCACAGTTATTATTGTTATATTTATATTTAAATCAAAATCTAACAAAAATCTTAAAATAATGAGAACTTTTTACTTCAATTCTTATATTTAATTGTACATCGAACATAAAATGTTCGAAAATAAAGAAGTGCCCCCAAAAATCATTAAATTATTAAAGAATTTTTTATTGTGTTGTTGATAATATTGTGATCCACTTAAATAAATTAATTTACATTTTGTACTCTTTGCATTTTTATGTTCTTGAATTTCTATAATAAAATAATTTTTAATTATTTTAAAATTTAAATGAAATTTTTATGGTAATTAAATAAGATTGTTTTAATTTCAATAAAATTATTGCAAATCTATTATAAATTAGATCCTGCTAGTGTTGAGCAATATAAATTCAAATATACAATTGTAATCGATTTGTCATAAATATAATATTAACAATCTCTACTAATAGGTACTTAAATGATTTAACTATGAAGTAGGTGTACTTAAGAGTACTTGTATGATTAAATTTTAAAAATGAGTATCTCAGTTTATTGAATAATTTCTGACTTAGATCAATTTTTTTTTTGCTTCTTCGTGTTTCGTCTAAATTAAATACTCGCATAAATAAAATAAATAAAATCAATTATACTTTTTTATCCCCTCCCCTTTTCAATTTCAAATTTATTTGTACCTACTTATTTCCTTATTGAACTAAGCATAATATACTTATTCTAACTGAAAAATTTTAAATGAATAATTTAAAAAGAAAATATTCGATTCGATTATTTCTCTATATATTTTTTTTAGTTTAGTTATTGTTGTATGTGTGTATTTTTTCTTTTTTCAATTTAATTTATAATACTTTATAATATTAAAATGTAAAATACAATTGATTTGTTCTTGACCTTTTTTTGAAGTTCATACCTATCAGATTTCTATATAGTTATACATTTTATACATTTTATTCTTTAAAAAAAAATTTATAAAGTTATACTTATTACAGTATATTAGTCTCTTGTCTATATGTAAATTGTTATACGAGTATATTTTTATAATTGTATATTTGTATGTATATATACAAATGTACCTTACATTTTTTTTTTTGCGATTGCACAGTTATACAGAAGGCACCGGTCATATAACTATTTTTTTTTTCTCTTTTTTCTTTTTAAAAGTATTTTACATTTGTTCTGTTTTATAAAATAAAAAAATATTCATAGACACAAACTATAATGCATAAGTTTGTACATTTATTTATATACTGTTATACAAAGTTTTAGTATACGAGTAAATTATAATAAATATAAAATGTATACTTATGTGAATATATTTTACTATGTATATTTTGTTGTGTAATTTCTATTGCACAACGGTATAATGCAGTATATTTTATTTTTTCTTTTATAATTTTTATTTTTGCAATGCAATTTTTAATTCTTCCTTATTTTTTTTTTTTGTAATATTTTCTTTTATATATATTGTGCTATTTATAAGAGACAAACTTATAACTATTATACATAGGTGTATTTATATTGTAGATATTGTAGTAGGGGAGATTTGAAAGGAAAATATAAACAATTTTATTTTCTGATAACTTACTGACGACATTTGGTTTAAAAAAAAAAGTTTTGTTTAAATTTAAAAGTCATAAAAAAAATTTTGTTTTTATTTTATTTTTTTTTTTTTTACAAAACATATGTTTAGTAATCGGATGTTTTTGTAACAAAAAAGAAAAGTTTTATTTAGAAAAATTTGGTAGTTTTCAAATTTTTTTTTTTGATAAAAAAACAAAAACTTTTCGTATAACTTTTCCAAACACTTTAGTTTTTTTAAACGTTTTAAACGTTTAATATGTGGAAGAAGAGAGGAAGAGAGTAGAAGAGGGTAAAATAAATTTTTTTTTTCTTGTTTTAAAGGCAATTGTACAAAAAACATGTTAGTCTTTTTTTTTTTTTTTTTTCTTCTCTTTTTTTTTCTGTGTAAGATAGATAGCAGTACGAAAAATAAAAAACAAAATTTAATGGTGATAATTTAATTTATATCTTTATGAATGAATAAATAGTGTTTTGCCAATCTAAATTACATAAAAAAAATATACATGTATATATTTTTTTTGCCCACATTCAATTCACATTTGAAAAATATACAGTAGAGGAGTTTCAATTAGAACTTTTATTAAGAAACATGGAAAAGGGAAACAATTAGGGCTACACTGCAAAATAGTTCAATTCCGATTAGATCAAAATACAGAGAGATAGAGAGAAATTTTATTCCATTTAAATTTATAGCGCTAGATTTGAATTTGACCTATAGGAAAACACCAACATGAGTGTATCAGTAAAAATAATTAAAAGAAGAGAGGGAAGAGATTAAAATAATCTGTCAGTTTAATTGTTTTGACGTTGTTTTATAAACATTTTTATTGATTACTACTCAATAAGATCTCAGACTGTTAGAATTTAAAATTTGTACAAAAGAAACAATTGTTTGTTAGTTTTTTAGTTTCTAATCTAAAAAATTAAGATTTTAATTTTAAAAATCTCAGAAATTTAAAATTGATCTATGACAAATTCTATGTCTTCTTATCTAATTTATAACAAATACAATTTTTTAAATGTTTTGATAGCAATTATTTAATTTGTATGTTTTACAAATGTTTATTTTACTTTTTGTTAAATTACAATATTGTCAATTGGCTTAAGTGTTATTATTCAATAATATTATTTGAATAACGTGAGTTCAATTAAAATGGTTTTGAATGTTCTAGTTAGAATTGATAAAAAAAATTTGTTTTTTTTTTTTTTCTATTTTAAATTTTTTTAAATGTTTTGTTTTGCCACAAATTAGAAATTGCCATAAATTTTCTTCTAATTCTTTATAAGCTTTAAAAAATAAAAATCATTTTGTTGTTTTTTGTTTTTCGTTTTCAATTTGAATTTTAAATAATTATTGAGTTTTCAAATAAGTATGTGAATGTATATTATATATACATATATACAACTTTGTACATATAAATATGGTCGTACAAATATATGAGTATGTAGAATAATTAGTTCTAAAATAGTTTTGTAACTATGATTTCCGTTTGTATAAATGAAAAATTATTTTTAAAATGAAAATTACATACATATGTGTGTATGTAGATACCTATATAATCGTGGTATAATTAAGATTATTCTCTTCTAGTACATATTACATGTACATAAACACGTACGTATCGTAATAATATGAAAAAAAAGTAAAATTTTAATTAGTAAAAAAAAATAAATGGCCGGTTAATACAAAATTAATACTTAATTAAATAAGTATAACAAATTATTTTTGATTTAAAATATAATTGGATACGAAACTGAAAACCATTCATAAAAGCCTTTTGGTTTTTAAAATGCGCGTGTTTTAATATGCTGATGGTGCCAAGACATCGAAATGGTAGAGGATGTGTATCACGTGCTATGCTAGTGCCCCGCTCTGATGCGGTGAAGGGAACGCTTTTTGGGAGGATATCGGATTCGATGGATTGACTTCGATCTGAGGATGTTCTGTCGCACTTTTTTAAGGTACTTCAATGGATTTAGGGGGATGGGTATGCTCTGGGGGGATGCCGATGGGCCTTCTGAAGCATTGGGGTGCTCGCCTCCCCTCTAACTAATATGAAAAATTAACACCATTGATTGTCTCATGAGTTTTCAAAAATTTAATACGCAATAATTAAGAAATCCTTAAAATTAAACTTGTCCATTCTGCGTTTTTGCTATAAATTTATCTCTAATATTTTTCAATTTGCTAACAGATATTAAATATTGTCAAGAAAATTGAGATTACAGCCCTATTACATTAACCTTTTATTTCTAATGAACTTATTCAAAAAGTCGTTTTTTTTACTATTAGAAAATGCTCATTCAATTTTAAATTTTTTTGTAATTCATTAAAAAAATTTAAATAAATTATCTATTAATAAAATTAATCACAATCTCGGTTACAATTCAATTATTTTCTCATATTTTCTAATTTAATAACAATAAATTATATTTTATAAATTTACAACAAAAAATTTTAATTACAGTTTTTAGTAAAAGAATTACAAACTTACATACATAGTTCCTAGTATACAAATTGCTGGTAAAGTAAATATTATACAATAATTAATATAAATTTAATTGAAAAAAGAATAAATTAAATGTAAAAATACGAGAACAAGGAACAGTTAATTCTAGAGTTATTCAAAAATATCAGAAATCACGATTAAAATTTATAACTGTTTTTTAAGAAAACTAAATTATTTAAGTTATAAATACTTGCTTTTTAAAACAATCTTTATATATTTAAGTGAAAATTAAAATTTTTAAGAAAAAATAATTTTTCATTTTAAATTTTTTTTGTTTTTTAATTTAATTTCAATAAGAAATATTTATAATATTTAATGTCCTAAATAAACAATGAATTTTGAATGCCACGGATTAAGTTGATAAAACTTATTACTAGATCTAAAGCTATAAAATTTAATTTTATAATTTTTAAAAAAAAATTATTAATTATTTTTTAAAAAAAAATTATTAATTATTTTAAATGAAAAAAAATTCAAAAGATATTTAATGAAAATTTTTTTATATTAAATAAAATTTCATCTACATATATAAATTGTATTTATGTATTTACAATAACAAAAAAAAGAGAATAAATTAATAATATTTAATTATTAAAAAAAAAAGAAATTCAATAAATAAAATTAAAATATCAATAAAACCAACCACCCCTTACATATCCTTTATAATATATTTACCGTAATATGCTACATATATACAAATATATTGTAGTTACAGTCATTTCAATAATATTTTAAATTTATAATATTCAAAAAATAATAAATAAAAATTAATTAACAAAGAGAAAACCTTATTTATTTAATTATAAATAAAAAAGAACTTAAATATCCTTAAGTATACGTACATTAGCAAATATATATAAGTATATATACACGTATATACATACGTTAAATAAATTTTTTAAAAAACAATAATAAAAGAAAAATAATGTTCCTTTAAGCTTTTTTAATAATAAAGCAAAGAAAAAAAGAAAATAAATTAAAATAAGTTGAATTAAAAAAAAAATACACAGAGAAAAAAATTAACAAAAAAAAAACCAATAACATTTTATAAGATTATTTTATTCTGTTCCGTGTTTTTTTAAAAGCCAACGTCATACACAAAAAAAAAAGGATAAAAACTATAAATGTAAGAAAGAAAAAACAAAAAGAGGAAGAAACAAATCATTATTACTTATAAAAAGCGACACATGAAAACTGTTATATATACAGTTGTGGTATATAACGGAATTTCCTGCATATACTCACATAAATAGTTCAAGTTACGTTCTTTAACGGTTATGCCGTAAAATATAAAAAGCAAACATACAATTACGATACAAAACGCAAAAGGATATCTTGATATACTTATATATTTTTTTTCTGTTCTTTGCTGTTGATTGCTGGTTTTCTTGTTTTTGTTTTTTTTTTTTTACCTACCGCGCACATATTTTAATTTTCAAACATTTTTTTTTTTTTGTACCATATTACACAATACTTACATTTTGTTAGTAAATGTGTGCAATCTCAATATAAATAATATGTGAGAGAAAATAAGTCTCTAAGGATAAAAAACGCGGCGATCAATTTTCCTATTATTATTATTTACAGTTATAAATTGTTATAATAATAATAAGAGTAATAATAACAATAAAGAAAATAATAAGGATTCTTTATATTTTGTGTGATAAACGTACAATTTTTATATATATCCTTGCCCTATATATCAGTACGCTTACTTATGTGAATATATGAACGCAATTTTATTATTTATTTAATTTAAACATCACTTGAAGGATTTTTTTTCTTTATGATATTATTTCGGATAACGGAAGTAAAAAGATATAAACTATATACAAGTATATATATATATATAAAATAAACAACAGGATATTAAAATAAATACAACAACACAGAAAAAAGAAATAAAGACGAAAGGATAAAGAATAAAATAATAAAATATACGTTTGTTGACATTTTTTGTGTGTGCACATTTTATAAACAGATATATATATATACATATATATACTTAAGTAATCTGCGGTATTATTGCCTTAGTCCTGCACTAAAGGAATTTTCCATTGTAACTTGTTTTAATTTATTAAAGTATACAAGCCACATTTGTATATATATAAGAAGCTTATTTTTAACAGAAACAGAAACTTTTTAATAAAATAAAAATTTTGAATTAGTTGATTATTTTCTTTTCATATTTATTTTAAAACATTGTTATTAATGATAAGAATTCAGTTCTCATCACCATTTACAATATATCGAACTTATATAATTTTAATATATATACAAATTGCAATTTGAAATGGAATAGATGTGCAATTTTATCGTTATATTCTAATTACCATCATTATATTAACAATTACTTAATTAAAGAGAGAAAAAATTTCTCATATCTCAAAAAAAAAATAGAGAGAAATTTTGCACACATATCCAAAGGAGAACAAATAAAAAAATGTTACGTGTTAAAAATTATTTGGTTTTGTATATGTATGTAATTGTGTACCTGTTGTCGCAAATAATAATTTGTTTCTCAATATTCTCAAATATTATTCCTTATTTACAATTGCTTGTTTAAAGGATAATTAGAATCCTTTTGGTGCCTTTTGAACTTTATTTTTTTTCTTTTACTTTTTTCATACTTATTGCCTATCGTTATTACCTTTGAATATAATTAAAAATAATTTATAAAATTATTGTGTTGCTTACGACGATGATGCCGATTATTAAGTGTTAATAATATTTTGTGTATATCAAAAAAGAAAACACAAAAATTACAAGGAGAAAAGAAAAGAGGATAATTATCAATGGATTTTTATAATATTAAAAGATAAAAAAAAACGGGTAAAAGGTTAAATATAAAATAATTATTTAAATACAGAGTGTGTGTAAAAAAGTCAAACAAAAGTTAAAAAAAAAATTTTTTTTTTTAAAAAACGGTGTAAATTATTTTCGTATATGGGTGGTGGAATATCATTAAATTCATCATCTGCTTCAGCTGCAACATCATCATCATATAATTCATCAAATTTTGGAAATGCTGTTAGTGGTAATAATTGGAATACAACACAACAACATTCATCAACATTCGGTGGTTCATCGTCATCAAGTTCAACAACAAATCAATTATTCTCTGGATTTTTAATGTAAATATGAAAAAAAAAATATTTTTTTTTGATAAATTTTTTTTAGTTTTTCATTCTTTTGCTCTTAAAAAATTCAATTACTTTATTTGGTTTTTTTTTTTTAAAGTTTTGTGCTTTTATTAAAAAGTAGAAATTGAATTTTTTACATACGTACGAATTTGGTTTGGTTTTTTTTTGTCGAAAATTTTGGGATTTAATGGAAGTAAAAGAATTTTTTACAAAATTAAGTATAACAATTGCGAATTTTGTAAAAAGAATTATTGAGAATTTTCAATTAATTTTCTGAGTTCTGTTATTAGTATTGAAAAATATAAAATTATTACACTGAACTACTTACTTATACTTAGTTGAACTTATTACTTATTATTCGTGCCCGTAATATTTTACGAAAAAATTTCATATGACTTATACATTCGTTACAATGAGTAATAATTTTTTTAATTGAAATAGAGAATTTTTATTAAATAAAATATTAAAATGTCAAAATTTTAACATAATATTCATTATTATTAATAATGAATATCAAATATTTACTCTTGTTAACACTAGAACTCCCAACCAGTCAAATTCCATTGAATCGAAAAAAAAACCAAATTCGTATGTTTATTTTTACGATTGTTTTCTTAGTTTCACCTCATTTTTCTTCAAAAAAATTAGATAATTTCGTAAAAATAAACAATTATTTTTTTTTTTCCAAAAAAATGAAGCAATTTTTTTTTTCCAATTATTTTTAGGCTTTTTCGTCAACTGAAAATTTTTAAAATTTCATAATTCACCATTTGATTTATTTTTTTTTAACTATTTTTAATACGATTTTCTTTGAATTTTTCTTTTTATGGGTTTCCGATTGTTTTTGATTGTTTTTTTTTATTGGTTTGGTTGTTTTCTAATTAAAAAAAAACATCATCAAAAAGTACTTGTTTTGTTTCTTTTATAAGAGTTGACTTGGGTATTTATTAAAAAATTCTTAAGCTAGTTAAAAAAAAAACACAATTTTTAATTTGTTTAATTAAAATTGGAATGAATTAACTGAAAAATTTACGGCCTCATTATAAAAATTACCATACTACTTAATTTAGCTATACTTATAGGTTCTTAGTTAGTTTGTCTTAGAGCTGTTTGGCTAGTTTAATTTGATTTTATTTTAGCTGATTACAAAATTCATGAGTAAATTTTAATATTTTTACTTATAATAGACAAATTTTTCATTATAATTTTTGTTATTTACTAGCTGTTATGAAATATTTGCTTTGTGTCGTTTAATATTGCTGAAAATTGTAATATTTATTATTAATAAACAAATTTTAAACTCAGAAGTCAGAATTAAAATTTTTTTCTCTTTAAAACTAAATTGGAATGAGAGCGATTTTTTATGCAGCACTGCTTGATGATGCATGAATTCAAATTGTAGCAGTCCATCTCTTATTAATTTTTGCTATTACCAAAATTATAAATCACAAATTGTGTTGAGAAATGATTACTTATAGTGAAAGGTTGTCATTTATTTTACCGTTTATTGAGCGTTTAAGTATATTTTTAACGTAATTAATGAGAGTTATTTATGTGATCATTTGATTATTTTAATTCAGTATTCAAAATTATTATGTTTTAAGATTTTCTCAGGAAAATTTTCAAGTAAATAAATCTACAAAATTTTAAGTTGAATGAATTTGCAGGTCAGTAATTAAATTGTACTCTTTTTCGAATTCAATCACATTTTAAATTTATCTGAATTCTATCTGAATTGATTTCATCACATTTTAAAATTTAAATCAATAAAATTTTGTTAAAAAATTAGATGAAATCAGCACATAAATCTGCTTTCCTGTTGATTTTTTAATTCAAATAAATATTTTTTTTTTTTTAAATTTCACTTTGAATTTGTGATTTTAATTAAATTTTTTTTGCATTTGTTTAAAATTTATTCTTACAGTTTACTTCATAATTCCATTTTATTTCCCTTACTTATTTATAATTTTATTTATTAATTAAAATTGTCTAAATTTAAAATAACCTAAATTCAGAAAATGAGAAATTAAAATAAATAATGAAATAAAGTTGTAAGAATTCTAAGATAAATTTAATTTTAAAAATTTATATAAACTTTCATACACACATGACTCATATATGTATATATAACAAAATGTTAAACATGCATAAGTCAATAATCGTGGTGCCATTGTTCTGACTTGAAATGATCTTGAAATAATTTTTAAAATGTGTGTATGTCCTAAATTTTTTGAACATTTTAGAATAAAAATGAAAACAAAAAAATGAATTCCATTTCAATCTAATAAATTTGTTATTATTATCATTTTAATACAAATAAATCGATCGTTGGCCAATTGAAATTGTGAAAAAATAAGCAAAAAATTTTCCTCAGATTTTCTTAAAAATAATAAACAAAAAAATTTTTAAAATAATATTCACACACATTTCAACTAAAAATAATTAGGTATGATGAACATGTGTTTTTTTTTTATTTTTTCCTGCCAAAAAAAAAAATTTTTTTTTTTCTGTTAACTTTTCCTCAAAAAAGCTTTTCCTTTTAATATAAACATTTATTTTAGCTTTAAAATTAAAAATACCAAAAATAAATTGTAAATTTTTTTGTTTTTGCTTTTTCATTTGGGAAAATTTTTGAAAATTATGTGTGACTAATCCTAAAAACGCAATATAAACAAAAACACACAAAAAAAATACGTAATGATTTCTCACTAAATAAAAATATTTGAATAAATTTGAATATTTCAAATATGTTTTAAATAAAAAATTAGAAAATTTTAAAATATTGTTAAGTAAGTACGAATTTTAGTGAAAATTAATATTCAATCATATAAAAGACAGTTAAGTGTTGCCGCTTATCTGAGTATGAATTAATTATCGAGAGTAAAACAGGTGTTTTTCAAATCTAAGCCTTTGCTGTCAAAGCTTGATTAAATTGATTTATGATTTGTCGTAAGCGTATTCTTTTTCTCTCTCCATTTTACTAAAATATTATTAAATTAATATCTTCTCTCTAAAATTTCTCAAACCGAAATTTTAAATGTCAAGTGTCAATTTTGACACAAATAAAGATAATTGAGGGAATTATTTGTGTAAAGCATTTAAGTGTTAAATAGCTCAACACAATTCCAGTTTTAATTATGTTTAATCATCATCAAATTTAAGTGTCAAAATTTATTGGAAGGCACTGCTATCTAAGTAAAAATATTGTAGCCAAATTTTTTTTAAATAAATTTTTTTTTTTTGGAATTTAATTAACGTAGTATTGCTAAAATGAACTGTTCAAAGTACAAGCAAATATTGTCTACAATTAATATTTAATAAGTATATAGCTAATAATAATAATAATATAGGACAGGCAATTTAAAAATTTAGTACCAACTGTACTATACTAGCACAAATATAAGTTTTAAAACAATAGTGTTTCTATTTCAGCAGTTATGTCTCCTTCGTCACTTAACAATATAAGCAGCTACGATTCAATATTGCCAATTCTTTAATTTTTATACACAATATTTTAACTTTCTATAGTTTACGATTTTTAATTTTCAACTTCACTGAATATTATATTCCTGTATAAACGTAATTATTATTAACCAAAATGAATCTTACTACTTAAATGAATACTTAAATGAATTAAGTGTTGTTGAGTCACGTACTTGTCAAAATCAATATCGTTATTGTATAATCTTAAGTGTAATTATGTAAGTGCAATTAAATTCTTTACAACTTACATTATCTAATTCTGTAAATAAAATTAAAGATTTTATTAAAAAAAACTTAGTTGTACGGCAACAAACTGTTCGAAAACAATTCATTTTTTTCATACAAATCAAAAATTCACAATTTTTTTATTTATTAAATTTAAATCCATTATTAATGAAACTAAGAATATTAAGTAACATAGGTCAAATTATTATTACAAAAAATAAAAAAAATTAAAGCGCCTTAATTTATGCAAAAAAATGTAATTAGGTACGTTTTGGTTTGTTACGTGCAAATTCCAAAATATTTAATGAATTTCCTATTTGAAAAACAAACAGGTAGACTTTTAAGAACCTTTATAAATTGTTTTTTTTTTCACCTTAATTTGAAAATAATAATAATTTTCCCTTCATTAAAAAAACGAAAACAACAAATTAAAATTTTTTATACTTAATTTTTTGTTGTTATTTTGTTTTTTAGTATGATGAATAATATTTGTGCGCATAGCTAAAATATTAAAATTTTAAATTTTATACTTTTTAATATTCAAAAAATTTGTATGCAAGAATTTGAAGCAAAAATTTAAAAACAGAAAAAGAAAAAGCAAGGCACAAGTTTCGACGAACTACTTTCATAATGAATCACCTTCCTACCAACAAAATATAAAAGCAAAAAAAAAATGGGGGACAAGGGAACAAAAGGTAATAAAACCGACTAACCTTTCGTCTAATTAGATTTTTAATAAAATGCGAAAATTTTCGTTGTCTTTTTTTTTTTTTATTCTTTTCTCATCTCACCTCTTCATTGTGCTTTTAAAGTGGTAAAAGTGTGAAAGAAGTTGTCGCTTTATTGTTTTTCGTGTGGTTTTTTCTTTAAAAAAATATTGAGTTGAAGAAAAATTTATTGGTGTTCAATTGTGGTTGTGAAATTTTTATTTTTTTTCCTTTTTTACAAATAAGGTGAGGTGAGTGTAAATTGTAACTTAAATTATACGAATAACATGCAAGTAAGTGTGTGTGTGTATTGAAAATTTCTTTTTGATTTTGTTCTGTAATTCTGTTAGGGAATAGAATTATTTTAATAATAACGATAAAGTGGAAAATTAAAAGAAAAGAAAATATAAAGAGGAAAGAAAATGATTTTTCATTTTTACTTTAATTTTTCACATAAATTTTCTTAACGGAGAAAAGAAAAATGAAAGATAAAAAGAAAGTTTTAATTTTTTTTAAACGCATTTAGAAAAAAAAAATGCTTAAATTAATTTAGTGTAGAAATCCATTAAATTAATA